GTTGTTTTAAAGGTCCCATGTAATGCTTTTCCGGTTATTACCCGTCCCCTTGTGTGTTATGAAGGTTTTTATGCATGTAAACTGTCTGCATAGTCACAAACCCTCAAAGTACACCCTGTAGCGAGTAAAACTCTAACACACAAAAGACCTGTCTGCTGCCCTGGAACGCCTCGTTGGAGATTACTCTTTTTCCATTGTTTTCTTCCTGGGTATGGTGACGTGTCCATACCCAAATGGACCCCTTGGTCCAAATGGAACAATCCGTGGAGCCGTTACGTTAAGTCCGCGGAGCCGTTACGTTAAGTCCGTGGATTGGTCCAAATTGACCAATCCGCGGACTTCACACACACACACACACTCTTTTCTCAGCTGCAGCTCTGCCGATTTCTCCTCCCTGAGACGGCGGGACGCAGCGAGGCTGTGAGTCGGTGTGTGAGCACACACACAAACTCCCATTCAGGCTGCGGGTGCATGTGTGTGTGTGTGTGCTCGAGCTGGTTTCAGGCTGGGTTTCGCTGTGTCTTGTTGTCTCGCAGACGGCCACTGGGCTCACAGGGAGGTGCATGATGTGGAGCAGCTGGTGGGGGAAGGGAGGAGCAAAGGGAAACATTTGAGGGAGGGGAGGATAGGGCCGTTGTTTGAGTGCTATTGTATCCCACCACCCTGCTCAGGACATCAGGTAGGAAACTCAGTCAGTGCATGGTTTTCTCGCTGTTAACAAGCCTTCATTTTTATTTCATTAAGTGGAAACGTTTTTGACTTTTTCTATTTCCAATGATGTACATGTTGCTATATTTCATCAGGTGTAAAGAACAGTGTGTGCATTTACAATCACTGTGAAGAAGCCTCTTTTGTAGTGCTTTTATTTGATAAAAAAATGATGTTTGCCATACAGCAACAAGAGCCAGTCAGCCCAGCACGTGGGCTTGTGTACACATGTAATCTCAGTCCCCTAACCTGGCTACCTGTGGAACAACCCACTGTGTACCCATGTGTGTCTGTGTGTGCTTCTTTCTGTATTTGCGTCTTTCTGTTTTAGAGCTGATTTGTTTGTGCCAAGTTGTGCAGAGCTAACTAACCAGTGTAATCTCTGGAGATGGAAAATATAATTATGGTGAAGGAAAAGGTGGGGAAAGCAGCAACACCATCTCTCTTGAGGGCAGTTGTTCATGGCAACATGATCGCAAAACAGAGTGGGGTTGGCTCCAAAATGGATGATACAGGGCACAGAGGGCGCACTTTACAGAACATTGTTGGTTGTTTAAATACAGTACAACAAATAGTAAAGTGCTCTTAACTTTGTGCTTTCAATATGTTTGTGTGTTGATGCTTGGCTTGCATATGTGTGTGTTTCTTATGTCTATAAAGGGATCTATTCACAAACAAAAGCATACCTTTTGATGTTTTCGGGTACATTTTTTATTACATCTGTTCTTATATTTGGGAAAGTAGGCCTTATACTTTATTTTGACCTGTTATTGGGTTTCTCTGAATGTTAATATAGCCAATGTTAGAATATACTTTCTTGTGTATCTTAACTGAATTATGTAGCTGTTAAAATCTAAATGTCTAAAATCTTCAGAAATAAGAATAAAATCAACTAAAAATTAGGAGAATTAGCCGTACACTGTTTGTGTCCAAAAGTTTCATCATTCAGCACATTAACACAGGTAGAGGTGTAGCTCCACAACGTTGATGATGTATGTTAATGTCGTAGCATGTTGCTACCAACAAGCTACCAAATCAATCTTCAGCCAGTCATGATTACCATCTGCAAGCCCAATGATACGAGGTCATGTGTGCAGCTCCCATGTGGAGATGAATTTGATTAAACTATTGATTTTTTCCCCGGAAGAGTCCCATTAGTTATATTTGACCAACACGGTCTCTGTGTCTATTGTTCTAAAGCTGAGCCTGAGTGATCAATGAGCCCCTTAATTGTTGTATTTTAAGCCAAAGTTGAGCTAAATAGGCAAAAATGTATTCTTCTGTATGTAAACTAATGCCATGCTCAATTACAGGAACAGATTGGTTTGTCAGGCAATGAAACCATTTTGCAGCTGTATGCAAAGGGCAGAAAAAGATGAATAAAGCTCCATTTTATGTGTTTGATAAAGAAAATCTATTGTGTGAGCAGATTTGCCATTTTTTGTTCTGCTGAAACGCACAACAGTGATAAAAGCTCCAAAGCATACCAACTTCAGCGCTGTACATTTAATATATTCAGATCTATTATAGTTTGTTCTTCTCTTGTGTATGCACTCACATGGGAGTGGTTAACAGTTGCATTTGAAGTTGATCTAACACTGCTCATGTGTCTTCATCTTTCTCCTAGGGTCAAACCAATAACAATGCATGGCCAGTAAGCGGCCACTCATGGCTCATAGGAAGAGGCCGGGGACCAGCGTAGTGAACGGCATGGCTGCCCCAGGACCTGCCTCTTGCCCCACTCCTCGTCCTACAGAGTCATGTGATCTGAAAGCCATTCCCCCTCGCCAACGCCCGGTCCGCTACCCCAAAGAGCCTCGTGATCAGAAACCTCTCCCCCGTTCCTGTAAGGCACAATACTCTTCTCCCAAATCGCCAGACGTGGGTCGCACCCATCCAGAAGTGGAGGAGAACGCAGAGGTGGAAGTGAAGCTGTACAGCAACCCAGCAGATGCAGAACTGGAGAACAAGCGGCCAGCAACACCCTCTACGCCAGAACATGAACGTGAACCAGATGTTCATGTGCGGGCGGACTTCCACGGTGGAGCTGACAGCCTGGATGATGACTCCAGCTCTGACTACATTAACAACACCTCAGATGAAGACTACAATGATGGTGAGTATCGATTATTCCGTTATTGATTCTGAACCGTCCTTCACTGTCTCTTTCTACAGCCCTGATAGCTTATTTTAATCCTTTTTTCCTTTGTTGAGCAAGAACTACACAAATAAAAGAAATAACCGAAGCTGAAAATGTAACAGTCAGAAGCTGCATCATCATCCAAATGAGTCATTTTTGTGAATTCAATCAAGGGTGCAATGTGGAAAAATATCCCCACAGGTTTTATTTTGTATCATGACTGAATTGCCACTTGGAAAATAACTTGGAAACCTTGTCTCTCAGAATTAAAACATGAGTAAGATCCCTTGACAGTGACAAACTAAATAAGTGAAGTGATTTTCAGTTCCTATTCCCATGATAAGTACCTGTAAATGTTTAGTAGCTCAGCACTTGTTGGGATTTGAATAAAGACGCCCCACATCTCTATGTCATCATACATCTCTCCAGGGATGGCAGAGGAAGATGAAGGTGTGACTTACTACATCCGCTATTGCCCGGAGGACGACAGTTACATGGAGGGTATGAATTGCAGCAACCAGGGGGAGTGTAACCCCAGCCAGAGCCAGGGGGACGGTGTCACCCCCATGGCGGAAGGGGGAGACCCCACTGAAGAGCGTCCGGAAGCTGTGGAAGGGTGGGTCGAGGAGGTAGAGGGGGAGGGGCCAGCAGAAGTGAGAGAGGAAGAATGGGTGGAAGATGAGGAGGTAGAGGGGGCAGTGAGGGAAGAGTGGAGAGAAGAGGAAGAAGGGGTGAGGCAGGAGTGGAAAGAGGGAGATGAAGAGCCGAGGGAGGAGTGGATAGAGGGAGATGAGGAGCCGAGGGAGGAGTGGATAGAGGGAGATGAGGAGGGAGATGAAGAGCCGAGGGAGGAGTGGATAGAGGGAGATGAGGAGGGAGATGAAGAGCCGAAGGAGGAGTGGATAGAGGGAGATGTGGAGGGAGAGGAAGTGCCGAAGGAGGAGTGGATTGAGGGAAATGTGGAGGGAGACGAAGTGCCGAAGGAGGAGTGGAGAGCGGGAGATGTGGAGGGAGAGGAAGTGCCGAGGGAGGAGTGGAGAGAAGGAGATGAGGAGCCGAGGGAGGAATGGAGAGAAGGAGATGAGGAGCCCAGGGAGGAATGGAGAGAAGGAGATGAGGAGCCCAGGGAGGAATGGAGAGAAGGAGATGAGGAGCCGAGGGAGGAATGGAGAGAGGGAGATGAAGATCCCAGGGAGGAGTGGAGAGAGGGAGACGAGGAGGTGAGGGAGGAGTGGATAGAGGAAGGCCAGGTCAGGCAGGAGGCCTGGGCGGGGCGAGAGAGGCACCTGGGGGAGGAGTGGGTGGAGGGAGAGGGGGAGGTTCGCTGCGACGTGGTGGAGCAGGATCCAGACGAGCAGATCTACAATGGAAGACCAGAACCCATTTTGGACCATCACCATAACAACCATCACCACCACCAGCCCCCCCTTACAGACACCCTGCAGGACAGAGAGGAAGAGGAGGAGGCAGAGAGTGAGGAGTACTGCCCTAATGAGGAAGAAGATGAGGATGGTGACGAAGAGGAGAGACATGGCAGGGCCTACACTGGAGACTACTATGCCCCAGAGGACAATGGGAACTCGGTGCGAGTCTCTCCGTACCGTGGCTGTAAGGTGCTGGTGGTAGAGGGGGAGACGGGGGAGGAGGCGGAGGAGGACATTGACCAAATAGTAGCTGAGATCAAGATAAGTATGAGCATGGGGAGTCTGAGCAGCGGCACGGACCAGAGCCCGGAGGAGCTGGCGCAGGACCCTGCCCCGAGCGACTACCCTCACCCCAAGCCTGACGCTGCCCCCTACCCACCAGCTCCCCATCGCCATGACAGCAGACCCAAGTCCCTGAACCTGCCCTCCATGCACCACAACACCCCCGACCTCCAGAGGGGCATCAAGGCACACACACGCTCCTCTGAGGACAGGCAGCGATGGCAACAAGAGCAGGTGAGCTGTTTATGATTGGTTAGCTGGGAGACCTGTTTTTTTCCATTATCTGTCCCTGTTGGTTTGCCTTTCCAAAACATGAACATACTTTCCAACCCAATTAGGAATAGCAATATAGAACTTCACTTGGAGAGTAGCACCCACAGATGATCAGAGGAAACACAACGGGATGGGGCGATATGTTTTAATTTCCATCCATTCACTGTCAGCTTAACAACCAATGCCAATATTTTGGAACGTGTGTGTGTGACACCCCACACCACAACCCCATTTTGGTTAGTATGTAAGCTGTTACAACTATCACTTACTCTGGATCAGTGTTGGGCAAGTTACTTCCAAAATGTAATATATTACATATTACTTATTACTCTCTTTTGAAAGTAATAAGTTACATTACAATATTACTGTCTCTGAAATGTACATTTTGGGGAGGGTAACTTGCCCCGATACACCTGACCAGAGTAGACGTGGAGTGTTGTAACAGCTACTATACTCACCAAAATGGTGGGTTTGTGGTGGGTTGAACGTGACACATGCGGTTCATAATTGGCATTGGTGTTAAGCTGACGGGTAATGCGAGGAATTAAAACATATCGCCCATCCGTTGTGTTTCC